TCCGTATGCACAAAGGCACAGATCCCTAAACAAGGCCATATCTGCAGATGAAACTTTTTTTGTAGAAGCATTTTTGAAATGTGAACTAGCACCTCATGCCTACAAGAAGCTGCAAAAGACACAGGCGCAAATGGAATGTACAAAACATATTGACATTAATTTTTAAGTAAATATTTGACGATAATGGTCCTGACAGAACTAAATTTTAAAAAATGAGTGCTGTAAGTACCTGGCTCATCTGAACCATCTTTGCAGTCACAGTAGTCATCATTCACTCGGTCAAAAGGAATAGCCCGGGATCCATCGAGACAGGTGAAAGGCTTGTTCTCCACATAAAACTGTTTCTCTTTATTTATTTAGACAAAATAAAGAGTTAAACCAGTATAAGAGTATACAGAAAATACAATAAATTATATGACTTGTATACTTGTCAGTGGCACTCCACGGGGCCGTTGAATTTCTACAGGTGTCCCCAAGCTGACAGCAAAGACCAAAGTCAACAGCAGGTGCACGCAGGTCATGATGCCTCAGGAAATGTAGGGACAAAATGCAAGCTCCCACTAGAGGCGCGTGACCTTGGAGCAAAATAAACGCACAATACATTGTTCAACTGAACATCACAGTATATCCAATCCATTCATAAATATACATCTCATACCAAAGGTTTACAAAAGGCTAAACTGATTAATATTTTTCTTCACCCAAATGATGGTCGCAGGTAAATCCGTCTATAAAATGTATTCGTATCCTAGTTAATTCAATCTGAAATGGCTTCCGCACACACGGCCAACCGAACATACTGAAATACTTACCGATCTGAAATGATAAACAATACAGTATCACGATAGCAAGTATTATGTTTCAATAAACATCGCGTAAATTAAATGTGCGATTGTATAATTAGTCAAAGAAATCTAAAAAAAAAACCTTTGTAAAACAGAAACTCATTACTTACGTCCGTAGAGCGTTCTTGCACCGTGTGTTACGTCACCAAGATGAGCGGTGTTTTCATATGATTGGTGGATTCAAGTGAAGGAATGCGGCATTGTGGGTAATGCAGTCATTAAAAAACGGATGTGATTTTTTTTTACCTCTTGCACAAAATCAATAATATGATTAATTATAAACCAGTTACCATATATTTAAGCAAAAGCGTCCCACCAGCATTTAAATACTGACTCAGCTCCTCCATAATTCAAACATTGTGACAGGATTATATCATATTACGCATATATAATTGTAAACATATTATACTATTACAAGTAAACAGTTACAATTCATTAAAAAGTCTGTGATTAAAACAATTTGTGTTCAAGTGACGCGTGAAAGGCGGGCGCGCGGTTTTTCTGCAAGAGAAGTTTGTTGTAACTTATTCGGGCTCTGCTAAACTTGTTATAAACTGCACAAAAAGTTGTTCAAAAATGTTTGTAAGGATTTAAATGTATAATGTTTTTGGTCATTTACATCTGACGACTTTTTTTTACCTGAAGTTTCAGGACTTCAGGTAAGTAGCCAGTAAACTTTGACAAATTGGCTGTGGCCGTATGATTATCACACTATTCACTGGGTTTCCAAATGAGTATAACAAACTCCAGCTATTACAATACCTTTAAACAAAGCTTCACTGTATCTTTGTCTAAAGTGCCGTGAACAGCTTTGCATGGTTTGAAATTTGATACAAATGATAGCTATCAAAAAGAAGCTTTGTAAACAAACAGCATTATGAATGGTTTAAGCAGCACTGTATGATGAATAATCAGTGTTGGGTAAGTAATGTAATTGATTGCTTTTTGATGACTTTTCCACATTTTTAATGAATGTTTTCAACTGTTAATCATTGTGAAACATTTAAAGCAGGTAGGGTTAACCTTATAGTAGTACTGATAACTGTCAGACTTTCAAAATCCTTCATCACTTGAATTAAGATTATAATCATTTAATTTTAAAGCACAGCCACCTCAAAATCAGACTTTAGCACCAGACTTTTTACTTTGAGATCATTCTGCGGTTAAATGCTGATTTAAAATCATAACAAGATATAGTTTAATAGCTATGATAATAAAATCTTTGCATAGCTATGACAGGAAACACTGGCATCTAACAATGAAAAAAAAAACAGTTAATCTAAAAAAAATAAAGTAGGCTATGCATAAACCCAAATAGGAAATAAAACAGTTATCAAATAAGCATGTGTCCTATTCTGTGTCCTAAACTCCTGAAACATTGGTGTCTCATATTTCAGAGCAGTCGATGTAATTTGGGAAAGAAATCAATCAAATCTGTATGAGTGAAAATATTCAGATGTAACCCTTAACATTTTCATAAGTAATTGTAATTTAATTACACATTTTTTCTCAGTAACTTTAACATATTATAGTTACATTTATTTTGTAATTAAATGGCATAATTCCGTAACTTATGTAACTAGTTACTCCACAACACTGTGAATAATTGACTACTGAATTTTTGCTTTAATGCAGCCAGGTCAAAAGAAGAAAAGAGGAGGTCATGGGGATGGAACAGGAAGTTACATGCAGGTGAGAGAGAGAAAATACTGGATGTTATTCTATACATGATCAGTCCCTTATACAAGGGTTAGGGTTTGGTTGCTTACTTGCTTGCAATTATGCATAATTTGCTTTTATTACTAACATATGTAACAAATGTAATAAGCACATATTAAAACAAAGCATTACCAAAACATTTAAACAATATGTTCATCTTATTCTTGTAAAGAGCACCTTACAATGCTAAACATATAGGGAAATGCAAGTTCTAGTGAAGGTGCCCAACTCTGCCCCCTTTCTCTAATTTAAAGACATTTTTATATTCTCTCTAATCTTCTCAAATAGTGAGATGACAGTGAGAATATTCTATTCTTAAATATATAGATTTTTTTTATTTAAAATTTAAAAATATCACAGGTCCTATACAGGACAGGTTCAGAGTGTATAAATGATTAAGCTACTAAAAATGTTAAATTCAACAATTGTGTTTTACAGAGCCGTTTGTGTCTAAATAAAGTCAGTCTGTAGGGGTCAGTAAAGTGTCACCGTTGAGCAAAATAGCCTCAACTCTACCATTTTGCTAAATACCACTTCATTCTCTAAGCAGATGATGAATATGTTCAGTGTTTGCTGTCATGAGGCGAGTAATGATCATACACAGAAATCAGCCTGATTACATGTAGCAGTTGAGACGGCACATGGAGGAAAAAAGGAAAATACAGATATTGCAATTATTAGAAAAATCATCCTTTATTTGTATTTTCAACACACTTTACAGTACTGAACAGTGAAAGAAAAAAATATACTGGTATATATTTATATATTTGTTTTATATATATATATATATATATATATATATAGCTGTTTGCTTATTAAATGCATTTTATTCACAAAATGACAACTTAGTTCTCTCGGAGGAAAACCTTTCATAAAAATAATATAATATAAAATAACTTGGACACATTATACACATTACAGCAATATAATGTACAAATATTACAATCATTTTCCTGTGTTTTCTTTTTCATTTATATTATTACCATAACGTGTGAACAAGTAACATATTATTTAAAGCCCAGAGAAAAATTTCACTGGAGAGTCTCATGAGGCATGTAAAAGTACATTGTACTTCAAAGTACAAAGAAAAACTGTTCTCTGATGAAGCCACGTCATCTTTCTGACTGTTTCTTGGTCATTAACCTCACAGAAGTATTTAAAACCCTATTAAAGCCATTACAGTCCAGATTATTGACACAGAGTAGCTGATGTTGTTCAGTGCTTTAGCAGAAAATGGCATTGAGGACCAAAGAGACGACATTTGGACCGAGCCATTTAAAGTGCTTACCCTGTGCCATGCTATACAACACTCTATACCATTCCCCCTGATATCAGCCATCTCACAACAACTTCCTACAGAAAAAATAAAGTGCTGGTAAAGACAAGTTTTAGAAATAACGGATGATTAGTCTGTTTTCCAATACAATTCAAATATTCACATTTAAAGGTGGTGAGAGGTTGACTAAAATCCCTCAAATGAATGGCAGGGAGATGACAGGAGAAAGAAAGGGGAAGGTGGAGGGCGCTTATGAAATTCCACAATTCAACTACAGTTCATTACAACTAAAAGTGATTCATTGTGACAGTGACTGATTCTGAGAGATCTCAAATTTACAATTCAACATTACAGTATATACAAAACAAGCAGTGATTTGTCTACTATTTATATTAGATAGTAGTTTTTTATTATTATTTTCAAACCATCAAACCAGAATGATACAAAAATAAAAACTGTACACAAACTGTTCAAAGAAAACACTTGTTTTTCCTTTTGATATCCAAAAAGAATGGCAGCAAGGAATTAATTTGAATAATTTCTTAATAAGAAACAATTGCTACAGTGTCGTGTTAAAATGGCAAATATTATTTGTTAGCGTAGTGCTCACAACATTAACAAAAAGCCACACAACAAAGCAATTTTAAGGTAAGACAGGCAAATGTATATGGGAATGTCATCAGTTCGCACAAACCGATTGTGTAACCTCAGGCTTTCATCCGGTGGTCCTCCAAATGAAAACTTATACCATGACATCCTCTAATCCTGTCACAGACAAATACAGTTATCACATATGTACTGGAATGACCTCAAGTTACTGCTCCGACAGGCACGGGCTTGTGTAAAGCTAAGCTACTGACCAGCAGAAACTAGCTTGCCATCGTATTTCAAGAGGGATGCTCACAAACACTGTCCCAAAATATAGCAACAATTGGTTCATTCAACTGAACTAAAAATCAATCAATCAATCAATCAATCAATCTGAGAGAGGCAATATTGCAAATCTAACATCAACCTGAGAACTCACTCTCATTCTTACTTTCTATCTCTCTCGTTCTCCCTTTAAACGTTGGTGAAGAGTCAAATAGACACCACTAAAAGATGCTGGACATGAAATACGTTAGAGGAACAGTTTAGTTTAATGGTATGACCTGCTTTCTCTGTCTGTACGCCATTATAGTCACTTTGCCATGCAGAAAAAATACCCTACACCTCCAGATGGAGCTATTGTGTATTCACAGACATTTAGCAAGGCATATAGACATGAAACAAATAATCTGGGATGTAATGCCAACATCTTATTATTCCACAATATGACTACCCTGCAGTTGACATTAAGGCAAAAAAGCATCAAACTCAATATGGCTGCATGTGACTTGTTTTATCTGTCTTTCCAACTATCTAACCATCAATGTCTTTCTCTTTGAGATATGCCTCATCTTCTCTCACCATCCTCTCTTCTAGCCACCGATCAAGGCTTTTCCAACTTATCATTCCTTTGGCAAAACATAATGCAGCGTGTTGTGGTGTAGAGAATGTATTACCAGCATGAGTGGGTGAAGGTGAGAGAGTGTGTGAATGTGTGCTGCAATTGAGGAGACTGTTGCTTTTACAAATTTGGCAGGAATGGATATAACAAAACAAAACAAAACAAAAAGAAGGCAAAACATATGTCACATGGCTTATCCTCAGAAAGTGACTATCATTAATTATTCACATGGAAAGTGAGGGCAGTCCGTGAGCAGTGACGGTGATAAATCTAATCTAGGCCCTAAATGCTCGGTTGGCTTGAAAGCGACCGAGGAAGACTGACAGATGAGAGCAGGAATTATCACAAAGACAATGTGAATGCTCCATGCCGGCACGAACCATATTCGATGGAGATAGATTGCTTAAAAATAGAAAGAGACAATCAAAAATGAAGACAAAAGCAGACACTCCTGTCCCACGATGCATTGCTTCACAACAGCTCCAGAGTTGAAGCTGGTGGTTCAGAAAGGCACATGGCCATCTTGCACTGGTAGCACTCCTGGGTAAAGGGTAAGAGGGGGTGGGACCCACTAACAAATCATTTCCAACATACTCATCCCTCCAGTCTTCTGGGCAACACGTGTTATCTTATTTTCTCCTGGCAGATGCAACTGTGTTCTCTCTATGACAGAAATTGGAAAAAGTCTCTCAGATTTCACTCAGCATGTGAATTCTGAGGATTTAAGTCCCTGTTCGAATGCTTTAAATACTGATTATTGACACTGATGCTCCTTTTTATGATGGCTTTTTCCCAAAGAGATTCCTTTCAGATCCAAGCCCCCTGAACACATACACAGACACACAGCCGTGTGTTTGCATGTACTGTGTGGTATCGTTATTTTAGGTTAAAATTCATGTACGTCTGTGAATGTATGCGTATGTGTAGAAATTCCAGAGTGCTACACTGACGTAATGGCCTTTTACAAACCCCACCGTGATTCTGTTTCTCCATCAAACCTCACCCTCACTGCTGCTGGATGGACTCCAGCTTGCACTCGAAATCTACAGTTGCTGTGTTAAATACTTCTCTGAAATCAATATTATTTTGTTCTCTTTTTGAAAAATAAAATAAAATGTCTTATTGGATTGGTACACAAGACTTATTCTGTTCATGGTCTAGCTATCAGAAACAGAAAAGTCCTATGTGAACGGAATAGGGACAGTTTTTGAGGGATAGACCCTACTTAGCCCCCTGGGCCAGACAGCTGTTCCTTGAATCTCGAGTATTATGTGTCATCGGTGGGAGAGGATGACTTCTCCTCCTCCTCCGTCTCCTCCACGGGGCTCTCATCAGACTGTCTCTCATCTTCCTCCTCGACTACTGACTGAACCTGCAGTCGCCTCCGTCCCGACCTCTCAACCACTACCTCTGTCACCTCCTCCCCGTCCTCCATTTTTTCTTCTATCTCGTCCTCCTCAGCTTCATCCGCCGCCTCATCTTCTTTCTTTGCCTCTTGACCATGGCTGTCTATGTGGTTATGACTGGGAGCACCGTCCTGTCCTGTTTCTCCCTCCAGGGTGAGCTCAAACTGGAATTTGTTCGTGCAGGATTCAAGCTCATTATCTGGGCCGTCAGGCGGTGGCGATGGGCTCTGGGGAATAGTGCTTTGGTACCAGTCCCGGTTGTCCTCAAGGGTGTCCAAAATTTCCTGAGCATCAGGGTGGACCAAGTCCCCCCAGGTCTCCCACAGGGGATGCACAATATAATCAATAAATCCCACCTGAATAAGGAAACCCGACATATAGAGAGAGCATTTAGGAGCAGCTCATGTCAGAGAAGGTTGAGAATGTGTTTGCGTGGGTGTTTATATGTGTACCTGACTCTTTTCCACGGACGCAGTGTGTTTGTCACACATGGGGCTGATTTCCATCCCACGCTCTCGCTCTTTATCGCCCTGCCGGAAGAACTCCTCCATAATACGCTCAGTCCACTGCCTGTACACTGCCAGGGGCTTGGTTGGGTTACTAAGGTCAGCACAGTGCACCATGTTCCTCAGGACCTGCACACACAAATACACACTTGTGAAAAATGTTGTCTGTCTTTTTTTCTAGTCTGCTCTTACAGACTCTCATCATAGTTTTAAACTGGTTTGTCGCTCAATAAAGACACACACCTGTATTCGGTCATTATAATGGTCCAGCATCAGCACACCTGAACTTGTCACTTTCTTGGTCTCGACCATTGTCTTTAAATCTGCCAGCAAGCTCATATGCTTTGACATGTCTGTTGCCAGAACCTGAGAAGACAAGGAAATAAAAGTGTGTTTATTTCCATTTACACAGGAAATAAAAATGTAGACCCTCAGGAATACAAAAAAAGGCACTGAGGTTCAGTGCAGTGCAGTCAGGGTCTAACCATGTCAATGACCAGCTTGCGCAGACTCTGCCGTTGCCGTTTGGTGAGGTTCTGAAAGATGTCACAGTTCTCCTCATGCAGAAGCTTGAAACCTACAGCCAGGTGGTGGTTCTCCAGTACAGATTCATCGTTGTACATTAATGCCAGTTCTGAGTCTGTGAAAAAGAGCAGGCCAGGCTATTAGTAGATTTCAGGGTCTTCTTGGGGCCTTTACAGAAACAAGTGAGGACGCTGTTGCTGATTTTGCCCATTTTATTCCTAATATTTAAAGATAGCCTCAGATGCAGTATATTTTCATTCACAATAACAAGCATGTTTACGGTTTGTTACCATAGCCAACTGCATGGCAAACACGTTGAACGCGCTTCTCGTGTGTAAAAAGTACCTATACACTTGAGAGGCGGCAAGACTGAAAGCTTGACGTACTGGCAACTACACATTGTTTAAGGCTATTTTATTAATTAGGATATTGATATAGGAACTTTTTTTGTCAAGTAAAACTAATATTTTCACCTTTAAACAATATACATTTTAATACCGGTATCTTCCCTCATAACCCATTTTATTGCATACCATGGCAAACCTAATTGCCAATATAATTATCTAGGGGTGGGAATCTTACCTCAATTCAAATTGATTCGTGAAGTCATTATTTGATTAAAAATCAATTCCGATTTTGAATCAAATTTTGATTTGATTTATGCATAGATTTGATTTTAGTTGACTGTTTTGTGTCACTTTTCCTATTTGACTGCAGTACAGAGTTTAATAGGTCTTGAAGAAAAAATCTCACTGAATTAAATGTAAACCTTGAAATGTATTGTTTTTTTCTTCCTATTTTAGTCAACCCAGTATTTTAAAACAAACGCAATTTAAGCTGACTGCAATCATAACACACATAACTAGAAGTCATCTGTAATTGATTACAGATCTGTAAGTATTTAGTACACAAATAAAATTCCTTAATACGAAAATAAAAACTTTTGCATATATAAATCTGTTAAATGAAATAAAAAATAAATAAACAATAGTACAAATATAATAGAAAAAAATATACAAATTAAACTTTAAGTTTTTCAGGTACAGTAACCTAGGTTTATTTAACATAAATACTACAGAAATACTACGAAAATGTAATAATCAAATGTAAAAATAAAACACTGTATAGTCGTCCCTGTATGAATTACATATAAATTGATTCATAATAAAGATACAAAAGTGATTTAGTCAAAAGCAGTGAATGATTTTTTGTTTTTATTTATTTATTTTAAATTAACATTAATGTAACAGATGGCAACAGTTTATTAGGCTGCTTACACTTTAAGAATAAATGCACAGATCTAATATAGTGTTACATCTGATTTTCTCCAAACTGTTCACATTCACATATGACATAATAGACTGTGTTTATGTGAATACTTCATACAATTTGCAATTTGACATAATTATGTGTGTATTTGACCATTTAAGCGCAATAAGCTGTGAAAGAGAACCGAATTCAGGATTGCATGCCTCTGAGAGGCAGCATTTGTGCTCGCACTTCAGCTGTGTCTGTCAGTGCGAGTGCTGCATTGAGTCCTTTTGCAGCTTACTGTGATTAATAACACTAGCGTGTCAATAACTTTTGACAGTACAGCAAAGTTAAAGAAATGTAACACTTTAGAAAATCGATTTTTGACATTTTTGAATCGATGTGAATCGCCGGAAGATAGAATCACGATTCGTATGTGAATTGATTTTCCCCCCACCCCTATAGTTATCTAGCTGACTAACAGACTAACACATTTCTGATGAAATTTGTGAGTCTTGGAAGCATCAGTAAACAAATCATCAGTAATTTTTGCATTAAAATGTATTTGTAATGCAAATGTGTTTAGTATTATTATCATCATATTACTTAATATTATTTCTAGAATATATAAAAATATGTTGAAAAAAGCAGAATACATTCTTATTGTTGAGGCCTATGATTTTGTACTGCTGTTAACCAGTTCTCAGATGCCATCATCATTATTTTTACAATGTACTTACTGGTGTTGATGAGGAACTGGTTGGAAACTCCAGGGTGGTCTACATCATGAATGGCAGCAGCGAACAATGCAGCCAGGATTTCAAGATCAGTGAAAACGGCCTGGTGGGAAGACGCCGTAGTATGATGGTCATTATGTGAAGTGTCAGTGCTGACTTTCAAATCTGATTTCAGATTATGAAGCTTTTTGCTTTTGAATGGGCACTGGCTCATATACTCACGTCCAGTGCCGGTGTGGAGAGCAGCACATGTGTTGACTGTGTGACATCAGCGGCATGCAGGCTGTTATGATAGGCCACGTTGGCATGATAGTGGTCTTCCAGTGTCATCACATAGGTGATAAATGTGTCCACTGGGATCCGAAATGTCTTTAATAGATCCCTTTCCTGTAACGCATTGCAGTTCGTAGACAGAACATAAATAGTGGAAGTAAAACAAACTATCATGAATCAATATAAGGTTTGCTGTTGTAACTAGTATTGCTGGGTATCAATACAGATTTCCTGATTCGGTTAGATTCAGATTCATAAGTTCTTATTTTGATTCTAGTATCAGTTTGATTTTATTCAATTCAGCTGGATACATTTCAGTTGTAATATCAGTTATGCTTACATACAGTATTAAGGAAATTATTTCTCTGCTAATGCTTATTACGTTTTTGTTTTGTTTTGTTTTTTGATTGCATCACATTCAAAACAGACTGCATGAACTCAGCAGGAACACTGATACTCAAACATTACGAAAATATACGTTTTAAAAATTAAGAACTATGTAGTTGAGGGAGTTAATTCAGCAGAGCACAGTGGTGTGTGCAGGACAGGATGTGCAAGCACATTTCCACACAGCCACTGAAAATAGGCAATGAGTAAAAGATTGATTTGGGGATTTTAAGAATCGATATTGTGAATGTTCAAACTGAGATAATCGGAAAATCTATATTTTTACCCACCCCTAGTAACGAGCATACAAAAACCACATAGACATTTTGCATCTGACATATTTCAAAAGTACAGAACAACAGGAAAATTTATAGCAAAAACCAGGGACCACACACCTGGAAGATAGCAAACATCATGCAACTTAGAGGTCTGTTATTGGAGTACTCAGCCACATGGAAGATATTAAGGCCCCACTTGTTTAAGTCATTCAGCTCCTGTAAAGATAGAGTAAATTAAATCATCAAATCCATTTGGCAAACTGACTTTTTTATACCAATAACTAGTAGTAATGTTGGAGGATTGGGTGTTGGAAAAGTTCTGAGATAGAGTATGTATGCATTGTGCCTGTACCCTGGCCAGTGCATCCTCCTGCTCGGTTTTGACCCCGAAGCGGGGCAGGGCTGCGCTAGTGAGGCTCGAGCTATGTGTAAGCTTCTTGACACCACTGATGTGAGACATTGGTTTTTCTTGCTCCCGGAGTGTAGGAGAGGGAATCTCTACCTCATTCTGTTTGTCTGAGACACAACCAATGCATGAACGTTTAACAGATGACAGCTAATTTCAAATCAGTAGAGTGTTTCAGAGCAGTAAAATGTACTCCAGTAAAACATACTGCAATGTTGAAACTAAGGTTTTGCGCTTCTGAAAATAGAAGTACAGAGCAGAGCGTGCGCACTCACCTAGGAAGGTAGTGGAGATGTATTCAGACACCTGATTCCCCGAGCGGCTCATCTCAGACAGATGAGACAGTTCCCTATTTAACATCCTCTTGAACTAGAGATCAGAAAAGGGAAAGATGGGGATAGATAAACAGGGAAAAGGAGAGAGTGATAAGTACACAGCAGATGGTAACAATGCAGAAAAATAAAAATGTCAGTCTGTCTGAGAAGAAACTAGTATGATAAACAGACACTATATGTTATTACATGATAACATGTCAAATACATTGTATTAAATGGATAGTTCACCCAAAAATAAATAAATAAAAAATTAAATAAGAAGAAAATTGGGTTCCAAACAACACTGGACCCCATTGACTTTCATTGTGCAGACAGAAACATTTTTCAAAATGATGGTGAGTAAATGATGACAAAATTTTCATTTTTGGGTGACTTTAAAACTTACTTTTTTCTGTATTATTCAGATGTTTACTCTTGCTTTTTGCAGATAGACATAAGACGTATATTGAAAATGTCTGAATGTCACCTAAAAATCACATGGTTTTGGTACTGCAAGGTCATATGCAGTTTGTACTTATACAGTGTGCAGATATTTAAATGCAAATAAACCTAAGGCATTTCTAATGTTATAGCTTTAACATTGTATGGTTAGAGGAAGGGCTTGTTTTTAATTAAAATCTAATTAAGTGATGGCCATCGGGGGAGAGCATTGAGGAGTGGTTTTCTTAAATCTCTGCAAACCATTGCTCTATCAAATAGGAGGAGAAACGTCTTTGTAACGTCTTTGTATAAGAACCAGATATGTGCTTTAAATGACTGAAATTGTGCAAGTTCAACAGATAACACAACACAAGTACACAGTCACACAGCAAGACTCCGATAAGACCCCTGGTCTGTCCCACTGACTGGTCTTTCACACATTACAATCTCCATGGAAACCAGCAGGTTTCCTTAGCAACTGCCTCCTCACAGTCCCTCCTGCAGCATGATGGGAGCGAGGCGATGGGTTGGGTGACAATCTGAGAGAGTAGGCAGGTGTCTGTCTCTGACCTCCTCCAAGGTCAACACTCTCTGTATCACTCTCCATCTCCCGCTCTCCTCCATTCTGTCTTTATCTCTCTCTAAGCCCACATTTTCGTTTCCTGTCTGTCTTTATTTCTGTACTCCACATTCTCTCCATTTTTCTAATGCTATATAATCACCCTCTGGATGTGCGTGTATCAGACATATGCAAATGCATTTCTATTACATGCATCATCATTGTTGTTAAAACATCTATAGCAAGCAAAATATAATGAGTTTAAAGACACACATAATGCACAATTTCTAATCAACAACACAATAAGAGAAATAAAAATCAATGTTAAGTGTAATTTTTAAGTAAGTCCAAGCCAATTTTCTGTCACAGCTATCAACCCACTCACTGTAAACCTGAATCTTCCTGAATTTTCCCTCAGGGATCAATACACAATGTATATCTATCTCATACAGTCAAGCTGTGAGTTTACATAAAGATTCTTTTACAAAATAAACTTTCCTGTGCAAGTGCATATTACATACTGTACCAAGGCTCTGTTTGTACTTTGCTGAGTCATTATTAAAACATTCACAGAGTGCCAACTGTTTTTAGCATGCATCCTCTGGAGGACCAAGATGATACCAAATCAGACAAAATGAATACAAATAGATGTTACTAGGGGAGTCTGATAGTATCTGTTGCCTTTATTTACTAAGACTGAGATTGATGGTTGAGTTTGATAAGGTGCGGACAAAAAATGGCAACAGCATATTTATTTACATTTAAATCTTCGAAGGTAAATGTATTGTGGTTGTACCAATTTTTTTGAAGACACTGAATTAATTAATAAACCACTTTAAATAGTAATAATAAAATTATTTTTTTTAAATGCTGTGCTTCTGCATTTTAATGGGCTAATGTTAACAGGTCCAATAAGCAACATAGATGAAACATATTTGACATTCAACAGTTAACCAGAGAAAGTGTCCTAGCCCAAGATGTGGAAATGTGGGAGAGTCACTAATTGTGTCCCAATGTTTTAAATTGTATCTGGCAACAACAAACCTTTAGTTTAGCCCATGATCAATTTAAGGTTTGTTGTTGCCAGATAGAATTAAAAACATTGGGACACAAACAGCCACATTTCAATATCATCAATATCCATATCAAACCTTCCAACAGTACACAAATCTTGGATGAAGGGACTATGCAGAAAAAAGCTAGTCCTACACTACCAAATATTAACCAGATGAAGCCAGTTCCCAGGCCAGCCTGAGACAGAGCAATGGAGAGAAGGCTTAAGGGAAGGAGGGAGGAAGTGGTAAGAATGGGGTTGAGGCATCCTCAGACACAAGCCCACTGTACAGGTTCTGTCCATCTCTAGGCACGGAAATAACATAAGCCAAGAGCTACAGCGGCAATCATTTTCTCCCTGCCTCTCAAAGTGACACTGAATAAGTGCATAAGTTCAGAGCTCGGGTTTAAAATCACACTTGAGGTATGGAGACAGGTACAAATTTGGATGCACCCAACATGCAACAAACATCAGTCTTATCACATGTAGTCTGTTCCAGAAGCATTAGAGCTCCATCACCTAAGCAAATTTTCTTTTTACCCTGTCCTAGTTACATCTCCACATTTCTATTTATCACTCTGCTGAACAAACAGCCTTACCCCTGGGATCTGACCAACTGTTTGCTAACAGATATTTAGTGACATTTTTCTGTTCATGCTGGCCCTACCTGGTCCCACCAGCCAATCAGCCAGGGTTTGGAGCAGGTGTCACAGAATAGATCCATGAAGGGGGTTCTACGCTCGGTGTCTTCACCACCCCCATCCAGCACCCCATCAGCAGCTGCCCCGAGCTCCAGCTCTGACCCTCCTCTCCCCTGCAGGGGGCTGTAGCTGGAGGAGTGGGCCAGCCGGTAGCCTCCAGGTACAGGTGAGGGGCATGAAGAGGGTGACGGGTCAATGGCCTCCACTACACCCATGCTGAGGGTGACAGATGGCATGGACCGCTGACAAAGGCAAGAGGCGCGGAAGTGCACAGGGGCCGAAGCACGGCGGGTGCCCCAGCGACATGTGGGCGTGGTCAGGGTGTGGGCAGAGAGGCCACAGCCTAACAGGCCGGGATGCTCCAGAGTGACGGCTGCCCCCAAGAGGCGGGGAGCAAGCGGTGGTGAAAATCCAGCGACGAGCGCTCGCTAACACTGTCTCTCTACATGCAGTAAGCAGTACGAGAACCAGGCCCTCCTGAAAACCACCAAGCAGGCTCCACGGCGATTTGCAGGCGAGTGTCCCCTGTGAACGGCCCGCTAGGAGCCGTCCAGATCCACAGGCCAAAGGGACTACATCTTATCCCAGCAGCTGAGTAGAGCTGACCCCGATCCAACAGAAGGGGGGAGAGAGCAGCAAAGAGTGGAATGGACAAAGATGGAGAGTCAAAGAGACGGGACCGTCTGAAGGACACAGAGAGGATGCGGACGGAAAGGGGACAGAGGAATTACGGGAGATAGGGAGAAAGATGAAGATGAGCAAATAGCTAACGGTGACTGACTGAGGGATGACAGGAGGAGGAAGGGAAACAACAACACAGGTAACAGAAGGAAACGGATGAAAGGAGACAGAAAGGACGACAGAAACAAGGAGACACAGAAACACCAAAAGAGATGGGGCCTTTAGTCAAAAGTCAAACTACAAAAGAGCGGTGGTCTGGAAAAACATCCTTTCTCTCTGTCCCTGCGTCGACTCCCCTCCCCCACCGCAGAGCTCCAGGACCCGGGCCCAGTGTTCCCAGCGAGTTGTGTTCAGAGCGCACAGTCCATGGAGCACAATAACAGTCCCCTCAGCACAATGCAGCTCTCTTCAGCAGCCCCGCTGTTTAATCCACATGCGGCATCAGACTCGCCGATGCAGCTCAGCTGATGCTCTGCCTCTCGCTCTGTTTCCCTGGATGCTGTAGACAGATCTCGCAAGCTAATCAGCCGCTGAGGCAGGAGGCGCGTGCTTGGGTGTGTGTGCTAGTGGCGTGTGTACGTGTGCACGCACCCTGAGAGCGCATGTGCGGCAGACGGCATGTTAGAGTGTGGAAAAATGAAGAAACGTCTGTACGTGTGTGTGTGCGTGTGTGAGAGAGAGATGTATTGAATAGTCTGACAAAAAGGAGGGGAGGGAATCTAGGCTTTAGTATTTACACTAATCTCTGCATGAACGATTCTGCTTTGGTGCATATGGGTGTGAATATGTGTGTTTATGTGTGTTATCTACTTCAGCATACAAGCTCTGCCTCAATCATCCAAGAGATCTTCCATTCACACACAAATGCTGCTTACTTCTCATACTGACATCTGTCTTATCAGGTATATAGCAAAACACAAAACGCCCGTATTATGGTGCATGGACACAACCATACAAAAACGGCACATCCAAAGTCTTCATGGTACTGTCTCTTTAAGCAGGCAAGCTATGGAAGAGAGCAACCGATTTTTCATTGGCCAGCAGCTAAATCACATGCCTCATGGCCACAGTGAAGAGCCAATGGTTAAACTGGCAGGGTAGACCTTGCTGCAGTTCATAGCAACGAAGGTTACAGCAGAAACACTGGCATCAGGACCAAACTGCAGCCCCCTCCTCCCTCCCTCATGTCCTCCTTATCCACAAACCCCCTATTTTCTCCCTCTCTCTCCATCTCTCCTACACTTCTCAAACCAGAGCATTGTGTAGGACAAGGCTGGCAGAGTTGCATGCAAAAGCTTTTTGCATCAGTGTTTACGGATGATAATTAAAAATACATTGAAGAACATCACTCAGGCGGGACCATATCAGACAAACCGGCACACAACCTGCTCAAGAATCTTTCTCCGCATACACATATTGTCCTTCATGCGTGATAATCCACAGAATGGGAGATCTTGAAACCGCTTCTTGTTGAAATCTAATTTGTCATGTTAAGTATTTTGTAAAATGTAAAGGAAATTATAAACAATGAATGGGAGACTTATCATAGTGTAATGGGTATCATAGTGTAATAGGCTGTGTACACAAAAGTGCCTTTGAGAAGGTGAGACAGAGAGAGGAAGAAAGTTCTACATCCTGCAAGTTTAAGTTCCAACCAGCTCCAACTCACTTGCCTGAAAGATTCTAGTGCATCTGAAGACCTTGATTAGTTGGTTCAGGTGTGTTTAATTAGGGTTGAAGCTAAACTCCGCAGGACAGTGGCCCTCAGGAACAGGTTTGGACACCCCTGTTCTACAGAAACAAAACTAGGCAGCACAAATGCAACAGCAAGTGATTGAAGAAACACCTTGTTGGAGGCCATTTCGCTAACAGAGCGGTGGGTCTGAATGGTCTCCAGCTGGTCCAAACACCAGTCAAGTTCCTCCAGAGTCTCCCGAGCCAGCTGCTGGTATGTCTCATCTGCACAGGACATAAGACACAGCAATCAGCTCCACATCACGACATTACTGTCATATGCATTTAACACTGACTGTGGGACACAGCGAGAACCCCATTTGTGAACAGTGGGGAAGTTGTTTCCTGACAGGAGGAAGTAAAGAATTGTCTGAGTGATTCCTTCATAGAAAAAAATTCCAAGCATGAATATTTCAAGAACTTCATATGGAGAGATCAAATGCCTCATAAATAATAGAGCCTTTCCCTCGTAAGAATGAATAATCATATTTTTTCAAACCAGAGGAAAAAGAGAATTATAGGAAGAAGTCTATGGCTGTTAACTTGCCAAAATCATGTGATATAAACTGATTTATAAACTTATAAAAATATCAAAGAACCTCAGTGAACATTTAGGATGAATTAGAACAACAAGCCAGGTTCATCAGTGTCTAACTTCTGATCTTGGTTTACATGCAAACCAATAACCTGGCAGCAAAAGAAAACCATGTTTACAAGACATTTAAAAAAAAAAAATCAGGTTATTCCCTGTTATTGACATCAAAACCTAATCAAGCTTGTCTCTGACTAAGTATTCCATTTATTATGTGAGTTATTGCATAATGCAAAATTGAATACTGAATATTGCAAAATGTAAGCAGGAAACTTGGACTCATATTCTCCTTTCGTGCAGTTTCTACAGATGCAGCATTTTGACTGTGCCGCTTCTACTTAGGCTGCATGAGATGAGACCACATTTGATAATTACTTGGGTAAAAAAAAAGATTTGGGGTGCACAATATGTTTTCTCCTCCCCAAACTGAATTGTTTGCTCAGGCCGGATGTGCTCAATCCACAGTAAGAACACTTTCCTGTCACATTGTCAGACAAGCGCATTTCAATAAGCCAAAAGAACGCAGGTTATGGTGTTTGGATGCAAGTTGAAATTGGGGTAATGGGCAAAAATGTACCTGTTTGATTGGCTCATGCTTAAGCCATTAACGACAAAGAAAAATTGGTTTAACGGGTTTAATGGTTCAACGGCTTATGAAGCATAATCGAGTTAAGGACATGTATGTAAATGCACTCAGCGAGGTCCAATCTATCCCATAATTGGGCTATGGGCTGTCCCTTTCTACACCAGACTTATTAAACCATTTCTATATGGACCTCACTTTGTGCACATAATTAATGTTGCACTATAATATAAGAACATAAGTCATAAGCACACAATTCTTTAGAATGTCATTGTAGCGTATAGCATTATGACTTGTCCTCACAGAAATTACTGCAATACGCAGTACATACTTTTGGTCATGTAATGTATATAAGAAGATCTGATGAGAGCTCACATTGAAGTGATATTTATATATATAATTGTATAACTACTTATTTTATCATAACTAATTTATTTTGAAAAGTTCAATATGTGGTGCACCTTCACTGCTGATATGCTTTGGAGTTCCTAATCTAAACTAGTGGCTGAGGGCTGTTATTTGGCTAGTTAAAGCATCTGGTTAGGTTCCAGACCTGTTTCCCATATGGCTTCACTATTTCTGATGCTGTAATGCATTTTACTGGCAACAGTGCCTACAAGAGGAAGTGTATGCGTAATGTGAGAGACACTGTGTGGGAGATAGAAAGCTCACCAGTGACTAAGTTACAGTACAGTAAACATACCTGAGAGCGTTGCTGGGGGAACCGTGGGTTGGCTGTATATTAAATTTCATGTTAAAAATATTTTCACAAAAATTAAAGTCCCTAACATAAAATCTTATTTTTTTTGTGTGTGTGTTAAAATTAGTTAGGTTGTGTGAATATGCTTTATTTTGTTCATTATTCATCATTTATAAAATACAAAAATGCTTTATTAGAAAATACACTTGTGGCCATAAGGGGGCAGAGCAGAAATAAAGAAACTGTTGCATCAAAGCTGGAAGAACTAAACTGACTTGTTGGTGGGAGTCGTGACATTGGCGAGAATTGTGAAGTTGCTTCTGACAGTTCGTAGACTAGCCAACACCTGTGTCGAAGAGGAGGAGGAAAAGAGAGAGAGAGCAGTTGAACAGCAAGATATCACTCAACTCCACCTCAGCAAGTCATGACAAGCAATTAGCACTCATTATATACTGTTTGCCAGACACAACAGTGAGTCTTACCTGAGCAAAAGGGGTGACTATGAGATCTTCAGTATGACTGCAGAAAGAGGAAAGAGCAGTTCCAGTAAAATGAAAGAGAAAAAAATACTATACATTTTGATAAATGTTTACAAATGGTCTTTTACAATATTCAGATGAAGCCAGAATCATCCCCAGGTGTAAAGAAATAGACTCAACCCAACATCAAAACATGCCATTTTTTTATGGCCATAATCCAAGCAGCAGTCTCAGTGGTCACTGCCTGCATGCTGCGAGCATGAGCATTTCTAAGGGTGTAACAGTATTATAGTGAGACGGGTAAAGAGGGATTTAGTTGATGTGCTTAATGCTGCATGGTGATTCTGGGATAAAATAACTTCCTATGAGGCCTTTTAGAAATGAAAAGTGGAGACAGTAAACAGTGAGACTGTGCTGTGTGTTGAGGGAGACGGCTTACCCCTCGCTGTTGATGGAGGAGTTTCGTGACATGGTCTTGGGGGACATGTCGTAGTCAGAGTCGGAGCGGTAGAGGAAAGATTCCCTTCTCTGACTCTGAGGGAAGGAGGGATGGAGCAGTGATAGTGGTGAAGATTGCCCTCTACTGGCATAAATATAATTAGCATTGCCTACTGGGAGGAGGGCTGCACTTGTTATGAACTGAGCAATGTGAATATAAAAATATTACTAAAAATATTATTTATTTAAAAAATATTATATAACTATTACAGTATAAAAATTACACACACATACATATATATATATATATATAGACAAAATAAATAAATAAATAAATAAATATATAAGGTCTAAATATGGAAATATGCATAAACACACACACACACATTTGCTGTTTCGTGACATGGTCTTGGGGGACATGTCGTAGTCAGAGTCGGAGCGGTAGAGGAAAGATTCCCTTCTCTGACTCTGAGGGAAGGAGGGATGGAGCACCAGCCCAGGACTCGCCTGCGAATCCATAGGGCTGCGGCCAGGAGAGGGCCCATTCTCCCCATCATAGCTGTAGAGAGAGAGAGAAACCAAAATAACAGGGAGAGAAAGTAAAAATACATGTCTTGTCATTTAGCTCAAACAAAGCTTTGCCAGTGGCAGCATTAGATTTCCAGTCTCTGTCCAACACAGCACAAATAGAGATGTGAAGCACAAACAATCATAATTGCCTCTTACTATAGAGACAGCAAACGCTCTCTGAATGTAAAAAGAGCTGATGGAAGACTGCCACCCTGAACAACCATTAAAGGAAATCACCAGCCTAATCAGAAAACAATCCTCAGCCGCCACTTCACAATTTATATTCTATGAGCACTATGTAGCTTAAAGGAATAGTTCATGCAAAAATGAAAAACCTGTTATTATCTGCTTACCCACGTCACCAAACCCTTTTACTTTGAAAGAAATGTAAGTCACTTTGGATAAAACTGTCTGCCAAATGCATAAATGTAAGTTGGTTCTTGCATGTGCTGTAACCATAAGTGACATGCCAGTTCAAACATGCAAAATAGACATCTGAGAGCTGCCGTGGAACGTTTTCTATTCTTAATACTTCAGAAAGCATGGAATATGGTGATGTGGACTTCTTTTATGATGTCCTTTTTTTTTTTGGCCCCTTATATTTCACAGAAAAATAACCATAAAGGTTTGGAACCACATGTGTGAGTTAATAATAATAATAATGTGGCATGATTTTATATGGGTGAACTACTGCTTTAAGCTTTATACTAAACAGACATCTGTGGAAGGACTAATCCACACACTTTTAGCATTAAACGTGACTAGTGGCAAAGTACCGGATACAGTGTCTGACCCCATCTGGGGTTATAATAGACGTACTATATTTGCTCAGTTATCGTGGCTCTGTGATAATGAATGAAGACTAGTCATCCGGAGAGCCTAATGACTGCAGAGCTGAAAGTGAGCATGAAACCTATTGCAGGTCATTTGCCTGTAGTAAACAAGGCATATAATGCCACCAAATCCAAATGCAAAAGCAGATATAATAAAAGACAGGGAGAATGTTGGAAACAGTGCAAAGTACATAGCTCATCCTCAAACCATTTGGCTGGGATCACCTGTATGCTGCATCGGAGCCTCATACATCTGAAAAAGCAGCTGCCCATGGAGCTCATATTGGGGTCAGGGGTCATGGGCACAGTGCGAGAGGAGCCAAGCAGAAGAAAGAGAGGGTTCTTGCATGATTCCAAATTCCTCAATTCTGGTTCCAGCCTCCTATGAGTCATGCCAGGAATTATGGGTACCAGCACCAGCCAAACCTCAAACCAAAGCCTACACTTTAGAAGTGAAGCGTCAGAACTAGGCGCCTGCCAAGACTTCAGTCTCTCTCTCGCGCTGTCAGTCACTCTTCCTCCCCCTCACTCCCTTGCTTCTCACAGACAAGACACTAAAACCCCTCTTCCCACACGCAGTGCATGCGGCATCTGAGCTCGTCTCCTGCCCCTAACTGCAGAACTGAAGGTAGTTTTAGCCTGTGGCTATGGAAAGCTCCTGTTTCTGCATAGCAGCTGGTGAACCGGATCTGGACTACGCCTAGGTTCAAATCTGTATTTTATGCTAGTTGTTTACATTTTCTTTATCACACAGATGTGCCGTGCCTGTGCTGGTCCTTTCTAGCAGCTGCCGTCCCCTCTCTCTGGAGATCCTGAGTGATGTGAATCCACAGTAAACAGGCCCTGCCTGTCGTCTCTATATGCCCCTCGAGACAAACACTGCCTCAGGCTCTTGACCTACACCTCCTCTTCCCTCTATATCGCTCTCCTTCTCCCATCAGTCTGCTTTCCATCTAAATCCTTCCTTTTTACAGTTGCTCCTTCTCTTTTTCCACACTCCTTATCTCGCAGCTCACAGAATTCCTCTTGCAGCGATGGGAAGAAGATGGAGTTCACAAGTACTTAAAAAAGCTTGAGGAGAACAAAAACATGAAGAAGAAGAGGAAGAGCAAGAAGGAGGGGGGTGACTCATGGCCTATCTAAATATTTACATGCCCTAGGTGCATGTACGGCTTCTTCCAAAACCATTTTATTTTTCCAGCAACAACTGCCACACCAATTACACATGACAACACACAGTTAACCTTAACGAGTCAACGTACCACTGCCTGTCACTATCTGCATTACTACAGCAGTCAGGCTTTACTGCACAGTAGAAATAGCAGCTTTCTGTAAAGCCATTTCCTATTATGAAGAACAAGCTCTTTTTCTCAGCACTAACACTGCACCTTTCGCTCGGAGTGTGTTGCTTTTTGTGCACTGTATTCATGCCTGTAGAGGTAGTGTATATGTGTGTGTGTGCGCGAGAGAGAGAGTGAATGTGTGGGCGCACACGAATGCTCCTGCTTTTCTGTCTGTGCTTCACTTTAATGCCTCCTGTAGTCATGTGACATTTGTGCTGCTCAGAGACTATCCACAAAGGAGCAAACAATAAGAAATTAGAAGCCTTGTCAACCAGTTTCCCCCTCTCCACCCCTTTCTTGTGTTGTGATTCGAGCCCCTCTCTTTCACCCTCATTCTACCTCCTTCTCTGGCTTTTTACCAGTCTCTGTCTCTTCTGTCTCTCAAAGATCTCTGCCTTTCACTGCCTCCTTCTCTGTAATTTGTGTCTATAGCTGTGACTCAGCCCAGAATAAAAAGCAAGCAGAATGCATGCTGCGATATTGGAGTTCTCATTTGTTTATAAGGCACAAGAGACACACTTGCTATATACCCTCATAGACACACAATCAAAGGGTATTTTTGTGTGTTTGTGTGTGTGTAACTGTCGTGTCAAACACTGCATCACTAACTCTTGGAAATTCAAAACTGAGCTCCAAGAATTGAAGGAATACAATATTTGCTGTTTTAGGAATTGTTATAAATAGCATTAACATCAAGTTACACATCTATGTGTGCAAATGGCATTTCTTAATAATCATAAAATAATTGTGGAAGAAGAAGCAGCAATTATCTTGCATCAGTAATCAATGAGGGTGGAAAAATGCATTAAGCTTTCATCATAGATAATGTACTCGCAAAATACACACCCAACGCACTTTTTTCACACGCTGTGAGTGCAGGATATGCCATTGGCAGCTCTGGCTTTCATTCGGCGATAACAGAACCCCTGGAAAGTAGCACACTGGACAATGACATGATGATCATAGGGGGGCACAGAGGAAAGGATTTGTGCCAGCTGGGTGAGTTTCCTATAAAAGATAACACATTAGCATCAGCACATCCCTGTGCCTCTGAAAACAGACCCTAGTGAATTGATTGGGTTGTTTATGTATCTTCTACACCACGCTAAATGACCTTGGAGTGACTGTAAAAAGCTGCAACCTTACAATAATTCCAGAAGACAAGAAAAGCAATTACTGCTTTCAAATACAAAGGTGCTCAAACTGATGCACACCAAAGTCTAAAAATAAAAGGAATGGTTATACGGTAAAAGTCCTGAGTAGTGTTGTCACGGTACCAAAATTTCAGTATTCGGTACCGATACCAGTGAAAATCCACGGTTCTCGGTACCAATTTCGGTACCAAAGCAAAACACAAAAACATGTTAATTGAACAACATTTTTATTAATAACGTTAAACAAAAATTAAATGTACAAAACCAATGCCATTTAAAAGTGTTTCAAGTTTTTCCACAAGTAATAAAAGTAAGAAAAAAGTAAACAAGTTTCACCCAGAAGTTTAGTCATAGTTCTGCTGCCACTGAAAAACATCTGTAAACTGTTGTCTGTTTTAGGGTTTGCTGGTGTGTTTCAGGATCTTCCTCAGTCTGCAGCTGTAAAAGAACAATATAATATACTTCAGTAAAGCAATGGGCTGAGTCTGACCAAATGCCGTTCCGAGGATAAAATACGCATGTTTTGGCGGGGTTCCCTGGTAAAAATTCGCATCCCAGGGGCTAAATATCACGTTAGTGGGGTCGTTTTTCAACCCACGGACATGAAAAAGAACCCGCGGCAACAGTGTTAAAGCAGCCCAATTCCGCGGGAACCGCGGACTTGGCAACACTGGAAGAGGCTAGCGCATCAAGAACCGGGTTGACCGGGTACTCGGTACCACCTGTACTTAAAAAAACCTGGTACCGTAACGTTTTCATTTTTTTAGTACCGACTTGGTACCGAAATACCGGGTCTTTTGACAACACTAGTCCTGAGGGAATAATTAAAATTCATAATAGCTCACACATGTGCCCCCTGAAGGCTTCACACAATGAGAATGTCCTCCTAACGTCCAAGAGGCTGCCTGAATGTGACAGCACAATTAAAGTAATTTGATAAATGTTGTACCGTCCTCTACACAGTCCAGGATAGTGCGAGTGGAGACATGATTCGTTCAGAGCTTTTCGAGATGGCAGTTTTGAAATGAATTGAATATAAATCTGGGCCTATGAGTAATAGAGCGTGTAATGCTCTAAAAGAAGTAGCTTTGAGTCACAAGGATTTAGACTAAAAGACGACGCACCAAATAAACGTATGCACTAAAACTACCCCCATTTTCCCTCCGAAATCACAATCTTAATGCCACCACAATGTAATCCCAAATTTATAGGTGAACCATCGACCCCTCATCTGAAGAGCTTGCCTCATGTACATCCTGCAGAACGTACTCCCCATTTGCCATTACAAAGTGTTCCGGTAGCTCATTCCGAATGTTCTCACTTACAAAGCAATAATAAAATAATTTGATTATGCTCCATTAATACTCTGGGCTTTAAAAGGCTTTGAAGTTTGAGTCAAGAAGCTGACTGAATTAATTAAAACTTGGTGTACAGTATGTGGGGAACAGCATGGAGGATTTACAGACTCACTCCATCCAATGACCATCTTATTGAGTTCTTACTACCAGTAAACACAAAACCTGGGCCCTAGAGACCCTCAAGCTCCCTGAGCACCAGGGAATGTAAAATGTAGCCTAGAACTTTGTTTTTCGGCCACACACACGTTGCAAAGTTTCGGGAATGACGTCAGTATATTTATGCAGGATTCACTCTCGAAGT